GATTTATTGAACAATACCAACGCTTGGCGATTTTTATTAATTTGCATGTATGCATGTGTGTGAAAGATTTAAGGATTTTCAAAATACATATATATAATTTTGTTCTACACAAATTGATAATGCAACTAGTTAAATACGGATTTAGGGGCAGGACCTAGTATGGGAGATATGACCAATTATAGACCGATCGTAAAAAATTCTTTAAGCAAAACTTCTGGACATGAAAGCTATATTTCAGTAAAATTTTGTATCTATATCGTAATTTAGTAATAAGTAATGTGTGTTATGAACCGATCGTGCAAAAATCTTGAAATAGAATTTTTGTATCAATAGCTTTATTTGGTAATGAGTAATGTGCATTTAAGATATTTTCGAAAGAGGACCTTGTATGGGAGCTATGACCAATTGTGTATATAAAAATAAAATTTCAAAATTCTGTATCTATATCATTATTTGGTAATGAATATTGACAATTAAGTAATTTTCTGGAGGGGGTCTAGTATGAGAGCTATGACCAAGTATGGACCGATCGTAAAACAATTTTATAGTGTAATTTATGTATATAAGAGCAATATTTGTGCTAAATGTATGGATATCAATATTTTGTAATGAGCTATGTGCTTTTCGTGAGGGAACCTTGCCTGGGAGTTATGACCAAGGATGGACCGATATGAAAAAAATTTTACAGTAATATTTCTGTGCATATGAGTAATACTTTTACCGAATTTTATATGGATATCTCAATTTAGTAATGAGTTATGCGCGTTTAAGTGATTCTCGGGAAGGGACCTTGTATGATAGCTATGACCAATTATGGACCGATCGGAAAAAAATTTCACAGTAATATTTCTGTATGTGAGAGTAATATATGTACCAAATTTTATATGCATATCTTAATTTTTTAATTTCATGCTTCTAGGTTTAATTTTAAAGAAAACTCAAAAAAATACCTGTGTAAAACGAAAAAGTACCGAAAAGTCCCTTTATTATTAATTTCATGTTTCGATTTCAATATCAAAGAAAACTCAAAAAGCACCAGATGGAGAATGAAAAAGTACCAAAAAATATCACTTGGTACCGGGGTTCCAAATAACACCTCATTAGCATATTTAGTGTTTCTAAATCTAAAAATTTTATTGTGTTTGAATAAAATCAAATTTCCCGTTTTTACCCTTTTTGGTACTTTTTTTCTACCCATTAACGAAATAAAAACAAGTAAGAAATTATAGTCGGGCGTGGCCGACCCTATGATACCCTACACCAGTTATGAATATTAAATGTGATTTATTTTTCATAATAAAGCATTTATCTTCAATATTCCCTTGTTCCGATACATTTAAGCAATTTATGGATGAAAAACTAATTTTCTGAAAGTGGCTTTATATGGGGGCTAGGGGCAAATATGGACCAAGCCCGATAAAATTTTGTGAATATATTTATATTGACATAATATTTTATTGTGCTGAATTTCATCGCGATATTTGTGTTTATAAGCTAATTTGGGACATTCAAGTAATTTTCTGAAGGGGACTTTGTATGGGAGCTAGGGTCAAATGTGGCCCGATCTTTATGAAATTTGGCAGGGTCATCAAGACTTCTATAAAACTTAGTTGTGCCGTATTTTATCGTTATATCTGTATATTTAACATAATTATGAGCTCAGAAGCCCTTTTCGGGGGGTTCTGTTCTATGGGGGCTAGGTGAAATGATAGACCGATCTTAACCATTTTCAATAGGCTTCGTCCTTAGGTCAAATAAAACGTGCGTGCCAAATTTCATCCAATTATCTTGAAAATTGCGACCTGTACCTTGCGCACAAGGTTTACATGGACAGCCAGCCAGCCAGACGGACGGACGGACATAGCTTAATCGACTCAGAAAACGATTCTAAACCGATTGGTATACTTTAAGGTGGGTCTAGGACGAATATTTTTGTATGTTACAAACATCAGCACAAATCCAATATACCCTCCCCACTAAAGTGGTGTAGGGTATAATTATATTCCAAAATGTTGCAACATCGTAGTGGGAGCCCGCTATTATGTATTTATATGTATAAGTTAATAAACCAAAATCAATGTTTTATGAAAAAAGTACCAAAAATAGGTAAAATTTTCACCCCTTAAACATCCGAATAACCAAAAAGTACTAAATTTATATTTTTATTTTTTCGTCAAGTTATGAAGGAGCCAAAAATATTGTTTGAATGTTCACTGGTTTAAAAGATACATGGGGTGCAAAAAAAGTACCAAAATACAGTTTTTACCCGTTTATTCCCTAAAGGGGCCGAAATTGAAAAAAGTACCAGACACCTGTCCGCTTATTTTTTAAATGAACGACAATAAGCTTTAAACTATTTTTGTATCTTTTCTAGTTTAGGAGATATGAGGTTACCGATTTTACCCGTTTTTACCCTTTTTTACCCTCTAAACATTCGAATTTCCAAATATCCCGTCTTAGTGGATCTATTTGGTGGGAGACCAACCCCCTGTCCAAATTTCAGCTCTTTAGCTTTAACCGTTTAGGCTGTGCGATGATGAATCAGTCAATCAGTCAGTCAGCAACGTTAAAATTTTATATATATAGATTATATATTGTGTTTATGATAATCTATAATAATCAGAATAATATTAGGTTGCGAGTTAGTCAATTTAAGAAAATTTATGAATATTTTTGAATTTTTTTTAATAAAAATTGTGATTTTTAAAATGGAGGAATAATTCTTTTTAAAATAATTTCTTACACTATGTGAGGACGATTAGGAGGTGGTAGATCGCGTTTGTGGGATTTTAGTAGAATTTGAAGCGTCACTAAAATCAATGGTAGGGAGGGTAATGAGACGCATGTCTACCAAACTTCATCTATGGTAGACCAATTTAAACTTATGGTATGTTTGATCTTTTCATTTTTAGTTTTCTGGTTTTGTTGATTTATAAAGGGGTTAAATATCATCTCGCTGTATTTGCTAAAAATCAACTTCCTTTCCTATTTATTTTTCGGGAGTCTATAATAATATTTATGGTGAACGTAAACTATTGATACGGGAAAGATTTGAAAACAAGAACCCCCCCAACCGACTGATCGCTAGTGGTTATCAATGGCTCCCATTCGTTTTCAACCTTTCGTCTTAGAGCATCATGATGTCGAAGTGCTTTACGTGAGTACCTGGCGTGTAGCCCTATCTCACGGTGGTACTTTTTCAACCACTGGGTGAGTATCAAGTAAACAACTCACCACAGCCCCTTTGTGTTTGTTACACTCAGGTCGCACTTGCTCAAGTACTCGAGCTATCTAATCTCTTGCCAAAGTTGTCACGTTGAGGAAATACAGGTGTCATGAGCAAGCTCAATCTACCACGACATAATGTCGCCCAACCACACTACTAAGGCTCTGTTGATTTGGCAACAGCACCTAGGGGACGTAATTGGTAGTCCGAAAAACACAGATTATATTAATTGACAAGACTTTATTTCAGTGGTCACAGACACCCACTGTGATAAGTTGAGCATACACTCAACCATGTTGGAAAATCGCTTCAAAATTAAAGAAAGGGCAGTGACGACTTCGCACTCCATTGGCTAGATAGACCGTAGTCTAACTCTCATTCATCATTCATCGTTCATCTTACATCGGTTCCCCATTATCACACATCCGTCAAATTCATCAATCACTCCATTCTCTTTATAGAATTCAAAGTAGACATCAGAAACATCGTTCATCTTCGTTTACCAATTCTTCGCATTATCAGCTCAATTCCAACATTTTATTAATCCACAGTCATGCTCTGTAATTTGTACCGCTCCTTGCATCTAGGAACGATAACAGAAATGTATCTTGAAAATTTATATTTCACCGTGTATCAGTCTTTTAACCAAGCACCCCCTTCCTGCGATTTAGGTTTCAACCACAGCCACTACGTGGATCCCGAAGGAACCTCAACCAACTGACCAGCCAGGACAAGTCCTGTGGGCAACTGGCCACCCGTAGTACCAGATTATGTGGTGCTCTGGTTAGACCTCTTTTCAATTTATACAAGGACTAGGCCAGGCAGTAAATTGTCAACACCAATTTATAGTCCCGGAAGACTACAGGTATTGGTAGCACCTATCTACCCCCGGATTGCAATACACCAAGATGCGGTCTGAACATCAAAGAAACATGCCCGGGGGGCAACGTCTTAGAGCATCAATCATCAATAGGTCTATACTATATATAACACCATTTTCAAATTCAGCAACATTCAGTATAGTTAATCGTTTTTTGTTCATTACACGCCATCACCAATTACGGCTTTCGCCTAAAAGAGCCTCGTCCCAGAACTGCCAATCCGACCTATACCTTCATATAGGAAGCTGGAACTTCCGAACTCCGCTCCTGATTTTACTGGTCTCCACCAAAATCTTAAACGAATTTTGTTTGGTACTCTACCATGTATCAAAGAAATTTTTAGGTTATCAAAAAAAAAATGGATATGGTTAATGCATGAAACTTCGAAGAACCGTAACGCGGTACAGTTAAGCGACGCCACACATTAAACCAATGCGAGAGCGAAACGCAAAACTCTCGAAGGCAGCGAAAGAAGCACGGCCTGACTATAGCAATGATGCACGTAGGTCTTTATCCACCCAGAGCTGAATTACGAATGTGTCGTGTGCACCCTGTAATAGGGCAAAATTTAAAGAAAATAAAAGAAGAAGAGTAAATGGGAAGTTGGCAACGCGGTGATAAACAATTTGACATCTGGAATAACAAAAACAAAACTAAGCTAGAAAAAGAAAAACTATAGAGACTAATAGCTCAAATGGAATTAAATTAAAGGGAACCATTTTGCTTACCGAGGTTTCTCGGTCCCTAATGGCCAAAATGTCGGTCCTTTTTATTTCTTTTGGCTAATGAAGAAGGTGGAGCCCGTGGCCATAGACTACGTGATAAAAAAAAAACTGTTTGTTTTATTATTAAACTATTTAATTTTTATTAAAGAAAAAAAAAACAATTGAAAGCATTTTTAAAACTAAAAGTTTAAAACTATATTAAAGTAAACTTTAAATCTGAATCAAAGAAAACTTAAAACTAAATAAAATTCAAATTAAAATAAGCAATACCAAGCCACGCCATCGCCAGCTCCATTCAACGGGGGACTTTCTTCGGCATATTAGCACCAACAATCCGGTGGTGCTTCAGGTACCAGGTTTTCGACCAGGAAAATTTACTTTTACCTCGTACGACGGGACGAACTAGACTGGTTAATTCCTTTTAGGTAATTTCTATAAAAATAAGAAAAAAAAAAACAGATATTAGTTTAGACTTTAAATATATATAAATTTAGGTATGAATTAATGAAATAAAAAAAAACGTAAACAGAAATGGATTAAAAAAAAATAAAAAAATATATATAGTAAAGTATAAATTATTTAAAAGGTTTTTTTTAAGTTTATATAATATTTTACTTACTGAAACACCGAACGAGGACAGTTAACGGACGGACTGAAAACCTACGCTACCCTTCTTCCAAATGAATGTTATGTAAACACCCGATAGTCCAGATCTCAAATATGGAGAGCTGCTAAGTTTACAAGGTAAGTGATTGGGGTGAAATTATTGTGAGTGGGTAGGGATAGTTAGGGGCAGCTAAAATGACTAGGTTGCTACGGTTGTAGGTTCAGACCTCTGGGAGGGAAACAACATATTGGCAACTCCATCCGCCAATAATGATTATTCTTGGCCTGAAAAGGAATAATTTAGATAAATGTTTTGGTGTATTCGTCTTATGAATGTTTGCTCACTTCGGGTCCCTTTCAATTTAAATACTTCTGTTTTTCTTTCAACTCAGCCTCAGCCCGGCGTAAGCCATAATACCAGCGCCGCCGACATTTGGCAACACCGACCCGCAACAGATGTTTCGGCATTTGTTTTGCTATCAATTTTCATAATCCTGGCCAGTACAGAATGCGCCCAACGTGGGGCCCGAAGTGAGTACGTCCATACTTGTTAGTGTTATGTTTTTGCCCAAGTAGTGTAAGTCCCGTTCACGTCAAATAAGAGTCCGTAACGCGTTGCGACATCTTCTTGGCAAAAACATATCTTTTTACATTAGAAGTATGGTTAATCGCCTAATACATAAAGCCAACAAAAAGTTTCATTAAATTCCATAGCCCAAGTAAATTTCATTTATTATTTTCTACTTGTATTTAAGATGTATAAGTCTTATATCTATTAAATTCTCAGGGGGATTAGATATAATAGCGATACATTCTTAAAACCAAGTACATATAAAATTTATAATCCTAGAGTCTTAATTAGTTTTATGTTAAATTTTGTTTAAATAGTTTTGCTTACAGACTTAGGACTAGTCCTGGAAAAAGGGAAGAAAATAATATTTCAGTTTTCAGTCGCAGTACTTAAGTTTGTCCATATAGTAAATTTCAATCTGTAAAGGCCGTTAGGAAACACCAAAGTTTACAACTAAATTATACTTAACTTTACATAGATCAAGAATAATCGACAATTGTTTTGTAAACCTACTCACTCACGCTATGATTGAACTCCAATCACTTATGTATAGAAGTTTATAATACATTTTGAAATAGTTAATATTTGAATATAGTTCGGTATTAGTGTGAATTCCGTTAGTACTGGAAATCTTTTGTTTTTATTAATCGCTGTAGTTATTATTTGGCATATTTTTTTTTTTTTTTTTTTTTGTTTTTTTGAATTTTCGTTATAAATATTTTTTGTTGTTATCTTCGGCGGTAGTTCAAAGAAAGGTAATAATTTGTCACGTTTTTTCTAATAATTTGAATTTTCGTTGAGTTTTTGGTGGATTATGGTTGTAACTCGTTCCGGTAGTAGAATTTCGAGTAATTTACCAACCAGCAGCAACATGGCAACTACTGAAGCAGGTATAACTCGTACTACAGACGCTCTCACTGAAGGTGGGCCTACCACAACAGCCACGTCAACAGCACCAGTATTGCCTCACGAGGTCTCTATTAGTTCAGACGACTCGAATTCCACGATTAGGTCGCCAGAATACAGTAGTCTTACAGCTCAAAACGTTCGCCGCGAAGTCCGAGAGAGTCTGGCCAACCAGCGGAATCAAAGTGCCAACATACAGGAAGTGGTCAACGCTTCTATCGGTCTTTCCCGGGCGCAATTTATGAGGCAAGTAGATAATAAAATCAACGATGCTTTAATGGAAATTAAGCGGGCATTGGGTATAAACCACCAGCAACAACACGATGTCCCAGCAAGTTTAGATCCGACGGTGACATTGCAGGAGGCTCAGGGAGGAGGTCCGGAATTCTTAACCGGCGCAGTGACACAAATAAACCCATTACCTCCAGTGACTAGGGGTCTAGTGGCACCTGTGGTCTCGCAAGTATCATATCCTCACGGTAATATGGGCGGAAGAGAAGTGACAGCCGTCACGTATACCCAAACACAGCCAGCTATAGCTCAGGGGCCTTGGTCAAATCCACCGTCACCTTTATTTCCAGCACCAGATTATATGGCTAATGATATACAGCGGAGGAATCAGACAGATTTCCCAGAGCCTAATCTTAACCAGACCAGATATTTTGAACAACAGCCAATGAATCAGACTCCGATCAATACCCCGAGGGTTGGTCAACAACAAGCATACACCCAACAACAACAACAAGCCTACAACCATCAACAGCAAGGTTACAATCAACAACAACAACAAGGGTATAGCTATCATCAACCACCACTACAACAGCAAAATAGCTTTGGACCAGCTCCTAATTATGCTTGGCCGGTGTCAAATGGTATGGAAAATCATCAGCGAATGAATTTGTCTAAGTGGGGTATAAAAATTGATGGAACCAGTAAGTCCATGAATGCTCAAGAGTTTATTTTTCGAGTAAACGAGCTGAAAAAAAGATTACAACTGCTCGGACATGGATATTTTACGCCATTTCCATAACTTACTGGAAGGACCAGCTTTAGACTGGTATTGGAACATCGCAAATTGGCGCAAATTAACTCTTGGCGGGACCTGGAAAGTGCTATCTTGTCCCAATATCAGCGTTTTGAGAATGAGTTTCAGGTACAAATGCAAATACTCAATCGCCGCCAGTTACCTCATGAGTCATTTGAAGAGTTTTATAATGTCATACTTAAGCTACGCCATCAGTAAAAAGTCCCGTATGATGAGAGATCGTTAATTGATATCATGAGGGGTAACCTTAAGCCAGCTTTGGCCCAGTTGATGTTTCCCATTCGAATAAACAGTTTAACCGAGTTTTGTCACGAGGTCAAGAGAGCAGAGAACTTGTTGGCTAACCAGAGGCAAAGTTATCAACAGCGTCCTAGTTTCGCAAGGGTAAATGAGATGAGATTACACCAGAAGAAAAAGATGTGGTGCCTATTCTGGAAGTGGACGCAATGCAGAACACGAGTAAATACACCTGCTGGAACTGCAAGATGGTTGGTCACGGTTTTTTTGATTGTCCTTCGCCCACGCGTAGAATTTTCTGTTTTAAATGTGGAATGGACAATGTAGTTACACCGAAGTGTCCTAGATGTCAGGGAAACCGGTCCCGGAACCCGTCTCGAACTGGGGAGGCGAGGTTAACGGAAGTTTAGGCCCAGTTAGTCAAAGATCTACGGCAACGAGTGAAGAGAGAGAGCAAGTTAAAATTTTGAAAAGGGTTGAAGCAAAAGTAGAGGCAAGTCCTGAGCCTCGGCTCAGAGAGATAAAACCTTTACATATTAGGGTGCAAGAATATAATCAGGCAAGATCGAGAATTTTCGGTAACGTTTCGAGTAGGATAAAGAAAGCACGCGAAAGGTATAAGCGAAGAAAAAGTCTTAGGCGGGAAATTTCGGCCGCGTCGTTAATAGAGGGGGATGATTCGCGTTTTTATACTAGGATTTCTATAAACGGACAGGAAATCGAGGGATTGTTGGACAGCGGTGCAACGGTTAAGTGCCTAGGCCGTAATTGTATGAGTTTCATACAGAAGACCGGTCTAACAATCCACGATTTTCATACCAATATAAAAACGGCGGATGAAACAGAACACCCTATAGTCGGTCGTGTGAAAGTCAACGTTGTGTTTCGTGGTATGTCACATGATATCAATTTCTATTTAGTCCCTACTCTGAGTCGCGAGTTATTCTTGGGAGTCGATTTCATGAAGGCTTTTAATTTGTTCGCAAATATAGGAAGTCTCACGACGAATGGTATTAATCTTTGCGAAGATGAAGAAGAGACCCAAGATATTAAAACTCACAAGTTGGATGATGAACAGCGACAAAGATTGGATTTGGTAATTGCGATGTTCCCCTGCTATACAAAGAAGGGCCTTGGTAAAACGCATTTAGAAACGCATGCAATAGACACCCGTGATGCAATTCCAGTGAAAGATAGATATTACCCTGTATCCCCGGCGGTGCAAAAGTTAATGTATGCGGAGTTGGACAGGATGCTGGACTTAGGTGTTATTGAGCTTAGCGAAAGTCCATGGAGTCACCCGGTTACTCTCGTACGAAGGGGCGAGAAGAATCGGTTATGCCTGGACGCGCGTAAACTCAATGCGCTGACAGTCAAGGATGCATATCCATTGCCGCACATTGAAGGTTTGCTCAGTCGATTGGGAGATACAATCTATATTTCGAGTGTCGACCCAAAAGACGCGTTCTGGCAGATACCACTAGAGTCATCTAGTAGGGAAAAAACTGCTTTTACGGTACCTGGACGACCACTTTATCAATTTACGGTCATGCCTTTTGGGTTGTGTAATGCAGCTCAAAGGTTATGTCGGTTAATGGATAAAGTGATCCCCGCGGCACTTCGTGAAAGAGTTTTCGTGTACTTAGATGATCTATTGATAGTATCTCCAGAATTCGAGACACATCTGGAATTGTTGAAGCGGGTATCTATTTGTCTAGCAGAGGCAGGTTTGACCATCAATGTTGCTAAATCCATGTTTTGTTTTAAGGAGTTAAAATATCTTGGGTATATTGTTGGTGGCGGCAAATTAAAACCGGACCCGGCCAAAGTGGAAACGATTACTCGTTTTGTATACCCTAAGACAGCAAGACAGGTGAGGAGCTTCATGGGAGCAACAGGCTGGTATAGTAAATTTATACCAGACTATGCTACCATTGCGGCCCCAATCTTTGAAACGCTGAAGAAGGGTAAACAATTCAAGTTTACCGAAGAAGCTAAGGTTGCTTTTGATCGCCTCAAGAAAGCTCTGACTACGAGCCCACTTCGTAACCACCCAGACTTCTCCAAGCGTTTCTATGTTCAGTGTGACGCATCAGACTTAGGCATTGGAGCGGTTCTTTTTCAGAAAGATGATTCTGAGGGAGAGCACCCAATAGCCTATTTCTCGCATAAGCTGACTCCAGCACAGAAAAATTATTCAGTCACTGAACGTGAATGTTTGGCAGTTGTCTTGGCGATTAAGAAGTTTAGGGCCTACATAGAATTGATGCCTTTTACGGTGATCACGGATCACAGCAGTCTTAAATGGCTTATGTCGCATCGAGATCTAACTGGTCGGTTGGCGAGGTGGAGTCTACATTTACAGGCGTACGATTTCGAAATTGAACATAGGCAGGGGAATCTCACTAAACGTATCTAAACTTGTAGATTTAAAGTCAGAAGCATTTCAGTCGGAAGATTACCTAAGCTTAATTGATACGGTCGAGAAGAATTCGGAGCAATTACCCGATTTGAAAGTGGTCGACGGTTTTGTCTACAAACGGACCAGGCATTATGACGGTGTAGCCATTAGTGAAGATTTCGCGTGGAAGTTGTGGGTACCTTCAGAGTTAACCCAAAATATAATTAATGAGTGTCATAATTCCCCACAAGCTTCGCATGGAGGAGTGGGTAAAACCATAAGTCGCGTCAAGGAATATTTCTATTGGCCAAATCAAAATGTTCAGGCAAGAAATTTTGTGTTAAACTGCCAAATTTGTAAAGAATCGAAACCCGCGAATTCTACGATCAGACCACCAATGGGTTCCGAAGTACAGTCAGAACGACCTTTCCAACGCATTTTTATAGACTTTCTTGGTCCGTACCCACGGTCGAAAAACGGAAACGTTTATATTTTTATCGTTTTAGATCATTTAACTAAGTTTGTTTTTTTGAAGGCCTTGCCTAAAGCCAGCACCAAGAATGTTGTAAAGTTTCTAATTGCTGAGGTTTTCCATAAATTTGGAACACCAGAAACTATCGTTTCTGATAATGGAAAACAATTTGTTAGCAAAGAGTTTGCCGACATGATTAGTAGTTTTGGGGTTAAACATGTTCGGACTGCAACCCACTCACCGCAAGCTAATGCGTCCGAGCGCGTCAATCAGTCCATTTTAGCCGCCGTAAGGTCGTATCTGCAGGAAGACCATACAGAATGGGACAAGCATTTGTCCGAAATTGAGTTTTCCTTAAGGTCTTCCTTGCAGTCGTCAATCAGAGTTACGCCATATTTTGCCTTATTCGGAATGAATATGATTGGCCATGGCAGCGTTTATCAGTTGGCGCGTAAGCTCAAAGTACTAAATGATCCCGAAATGAATATCATCCCGAACGCGGTTAGAATGGATCTGATACGACGGAAAATTCGCGAAAATCTGCATAAGGCCTACACTCGTAACAAAAAATCTTATAATACGCGGTGTCGACAAGTTAAATTTGTTCCCGGTCAGGAAGTCTACCGACGTAACTTCCAACAAAGCGATTTCAAGAATAATTTTAATGCCAAATTCGCCCGAAAATTTCTAAAATGCCGAATCGTCCGACCAGTCGGAAACAGTTTGTACGAGGTCGAGGATATTCAGGGGAAATCGTTAAGGGTTTTTCACGCCAAAGATTTGAAGCAATAGCTTCAATATTTTTGGTGGTTCTAGTCCTAACATTTCTTCCTGAATATCTACCGGTTGACAGCTTCTAGTTGTCGTCCAATTTGTACCTAATGATGTACCTATCTTTAAGTCTGTATTGTTGAGTCTTTATATTAATCTTAGTCTTTTCTTTATTGGCAGGGAATTTCTGTTTGGTATAGCTGTTGATATATCCTAAGCAGTACTGAGTTCTCTACATATCTTTCATTTATATCGTAGTCCAGTGAGATCCATAGCTACTTTGGAATGAGTAATTATTTGTTGAATCGACTTAAAGCCAACGTTTCTTAGCTGGTTACATGTGTAACCGGTCATTACCCTATAAGTAGGTGCAACCCCATCAAAGCCTTCTGGTACCGTGCCATCAAAAGCGTAAGGGTTATTAGTCACCTAGGGTAATAACACAATTCTGAGTCCGATCTTACAGCGAGCCGATACCAAAGTAAACAATTGGGACAATACAAGTTGGAAGATCAACATGTAGTTGTTCACTCCGTAAGCAGATTGTCACTGGCTGGGAAATGAATGATCGATAGTACAGATACGTCAGTTTTGGTTGGGATATAGTCCGTAACTATGCTAAACACAATTCTTTTGAGTTCAGTGGCAATAACAAGGAGTTTAGGACCTTGTTTCATAATTTTCTTAACTTTGCCTTGTTATTACCACCGAACCTATGAAGCCCGACTTAAACTAGCTGCCAATTCCCTGAATTTCTCCGATTTTTTTTTGCATTTCAGTGGTGTTTTCGTCCCTTCGGTTCGTCCTTCTCAAGGGCACTTGAATTCCAAGAACCAGTAGGGAAAAGAAACATTAGTTTTTGTAGTATTTAAAGTAATAATAAAATTTTCTAAAAGAATTATATTTATGAATAGCTTTATAAAATTTCTGTTAGGATTTTCTTTTAGAAAGTTTTATTTTCAAACAACCCTAGGGTTGAACTAATAGCTTGTTTTTTTTTTTTTTGTTAGGTGAAAAGGTCAAGGGGCACTTCTCGCCAAAGAATTTTGGTGGTTTTGGTCCTTGTCATTTTCACCTATCTTTATCAGAAGACTTACCTGAGTCATCATTAAGGTCCAGGTCTTTTATCTCCGTTTTCCCAAAGTTTGGATGGATAATCTGTAAAAGGAAGCATTAGTAATTTAGTTTTTATTGTTGAATGTAATTACAAGGGGTATTTCCCGCCAAAGTCTCTAGAGTTTACTCTATGAGCTTTGGTGGACTTAGTCCTTGTATTACAATAAATAGGAAGTAACACTATAATTTTGTTCCAAACTTACGACTCCTAAACGGAAGCTAAGGCCTGTTGGAAGTTTAAGGTCCTTTTGAATTTTAATCTGAAAATATAGTAAATTAAAATAGAATTAGTAAAATTATATAAAAAAATTATGAAAGAATTAAATAAAAATCTAAAAAAATTAATTTAGAAAAAAAAAACATAGAAACTTTTATAAAAAAAAATTGGAAAAAAGGAAAATTTTTGGAAAAGAATTGGAAAAAAAACTGAATTAATTTTTTTTTATTTGTAAATATTTTCAAAATTTCTCATTTTTTTTTTAAATCTTAGTTTTTTCACTGTCACTAAAATTTCACTGAAACTTTTATCTGCCACTGTATTTTCCAAAAGTTAGTTTCATTTTTCAAATCCACACTATATTTCATTTCACCACACACTAGGAATTGTTTACTTAACACCATTGAATAATTTTTTGATTTTGTCACACCACTTTTGTCACACTGTATTAATTTTTTTATTTTTCACCGGCTTAATTTTTTTAGTCACTTCAGTTTTCAGCATCACTTTATTTTATTTACTTTTATTTTTTTTAACACCGTACACTTTTGCTAGTCACTGTAATTTCCATTTAATTTTTTTTCGTTTGGCACCGTAAATTTTTCATTTGCACAATAATTTATTTTTATTCTCACTTTAATTTTATTTCCACTTTATAATTTTTTATACCACTTTTGTTTCACACTGTAAACTCCACTTTTGATTTTTATATACAGCCTTAATAGCAATAGTTTAAATTTATTTTTGTTAATAGTATACTTTTTTACATTTTAATTTTCGTCACAACACTTTAATTTTCGTCACAACATTTTTGGTCCGCACTGTAATTCCTTAAAAATTTCTTATATTTATTTTTTTTATCGACCGGCAAATATTTTTTTTTTCACTTTAATTTATTAATTTTTTTTTACATTCTGATTGTCCGTCCGCGCACTTTTGGCACTCACTGTATTTTCTAATTTTTATTTTTTTATCCCTAACAACACTTTACATTCACTGTAAAACACTTTCATTTTAATTAATTTTTTAGTACACACACTTTTTACACTCACTGTAATTTCCAAAATTCCTAACAGCACTTTTATCTTAATCAATACACTTTTATTTAAAATCTACACACTTAAAATTAATTTTCACTTACCTTATTGTTGTCCAACATGAAAAATTACTCCACACACGCAATTGATAACGGTAGCCACATTCCTGAAAGAAAAAACCAACAAAAAAAAAAATGCATTACAATTTTGACCTTCAATGAAAATAAATTTTTACTTACCATAATTCCGCCAACATCTCCAACATCCTCCGTCTTTTTCTGAAAAGAAAATATAAAAAAAATTAAATTAATATTTTGCTATAAATTTTTATTAAAATTTTTAAATAAATTCAAAAATAAAAATTTCATTGACAAATACTTACCCTTGTTGACCACCGCCATTGAAAAATATTAATAAAAGCGTATTTTTGGCATTCTCTCTCCTCCCCTTCCAATTCATTCAAACAGCTGGTAGTAAATGCAGAGTCCGTCGGCGCGTGAGCAATTTTTGACGGCGACACAGAGTGGCACTTTTGTTCATGACTGAGTAAGGGTTGCCATAGGGATTTTTTTTTGTTGGGTATAGAAAAATACCCACGATCCCAAAAAAAATCTTTAAAATTAGGGAGGTTCATAATTTCAGGGCGAAAATTTTTCCACCCCATTCTGTATCTATAAATGGATTACAGAATGGTACGGTTTGTCGTGTGCACCCTGTAGTAGGGCAAAATTTAAAGAAAATAAAAGAAGAAGAGTAAATGGGTAGTTGGCAACGCGGTGATAAACAATTTGACATCTGGAATAACATAAACAAAAACAAAACTAAGCTAGAAAAAGAAAAACTATAGAGACTAATAGCTGAAATGGAATTAAATTAAAGGGAACCATTTTGCTTACCGAGGTTTCTCGGTCCCTAATGGCCAAAATGTCGGTCCTTTTTATTTCTTTTGGCTAATGAAGAAGGTGGAGACCGTGGCCATAGACTACGTGATAAAAAAAACTGTTTGTTTTATTGTTAAACTATTTAATTTTTATTAAAGAAAAAAAAAAACAATTGAAGGCATTTTAAAAACTAAAAGTTTAAAACTACATTAAAGTAAACTTTAAATCTGAATCAAAAAACCTTAAAACTAAATAAAATTCAAATTAAAATAAGCAACACCAAGCCACGCCATCGCACAGTGGTATAGGAAAAAAAAGAGGGAAATAATTCGGTAACTTCTAAACGGTTAATCCGATTTTAATGAAATTTGGTATGCACAAAGAGAAGGTGTTGTCGAGTTTAGGTTTTGAATTTGGACCTTATAGGCCAACCAGGGGCCCGGCGGGGGGTCCTCAAATTAGGACACCTCGGCTATGTTAAATTTTTAAAACGATCCTATTTCTTCATTTGAGTTCCGATTTAAAAAAAATTTCGTATATAGAATCTCCTCATCGAGCACTATAAAAAATGTCGTCGTACCAGTAAATTATCTCTTATAGTTTAGGAGATATTCGCATTTGAAAATTAAAATTTTAAAATTTTTACCGTCCTTACTTTAGTTTTTTGATAATAGCGGGTCCAAATATTCCCGATTTTCGCCATTTTTTTTATTCGCTTAACAACAAGTTTATATATCAAGCAGTGAAAGAATTATGTAAAAATCATGACTGAGTCCAAAGTTATAGGCATTTTAATTTAAAAAATTAAAAAAAAGGCGATTTTTTGCCATTTTTTTGGGAAAAAAGTATCTTTTTCTTTTTAAGTTAAGATTCACTTTTCTAGATTGTTTTCAGGGTTAGATACTGCTGGAATATGGAAAATTTTACGAGGTTCTGGCTGTGTTGGGGACGATTCGGGAGGATATAGCATAGATGTCGAAAACTTGAATGATTTCTTTGTTTGTGACAATGGTTTTGACGACCTAAACAACTCCTTTTTTAATGATACCTTTAATAATATTAATACTTTTTCTTTTAGTTGTATTAGTGATGCTGAACTGTTTGAAGCAATATATAAAGTTAAATCTCGTTCGGTTGGAGTTGATGACCTTTCAATACAATTTATTAAACTAATTTATCCATATGTTTCTCGATATATTCTTGACCTTTTTAACAAAATCTTAACATCATCTACTTTTCCATCAGCATGGAAAACTGCTCGTGTTGTTCCTATACCGAAGACAAAAATCATTCGAGGGCCCGATGATCTGAGACCTATCTCTATTTTGCCTGTACTTTCCAAGGTGTTTGAACATATTATGAAAGAACAAATGTTATCATCGAGATTCTTGCATATTTCTGAGGCGCAATATGCTTACCGCAGGGGATACAGTACTTCGTTAATGTTACTTGGTATTACTGAACGTATTAGGAGTAATGTTAATGCTAATAATTTAAGTGTGCTTGTATCTCTTGATCTTTCTAGGGCTTTTAATTCAATATGTTTTTCCATGATGATTAAAAAGCTTAAGGATGAGCTACACTTTTCTCTTACTGCTTGTCGTCTAATTTATTCGTATTTGGTTGGCAGATCACAGTTTGTTGACTTTTATGGACAACGCTCATCTCTTCGTTTCCTCTCCTGTGGTGTTCCTCAGGGATCAGTTTTAGGTCCTCTATTATTTTGTATATGAACAGTTTGCCCGATTGCATTAACTCATCTCTATGTGAATGCTTTATTTTTGCCGATGACATCTTTTTATTGTTTACTAGCAGTATGGATTTTCCTGATGTGTTGGAAAATAATATTAATTTTTGTCTTGAGCGTGTTCTTGAGTGGACTGCCTTAAATTCTTTGGTTGTTAATCCTTCTAAGACCAAAGCTATTATGTTTGGCCCTACCATACGATTTTTTCCTGATTTAAGAATTATTTTGGATGGTATCGGTATTGTAATTGCTGAAAACATTAAATGTTTAGGTATTATTTTGGATAGCAGGCTTTCATTCACTCAACATATTGATGTTTTATGTTCCAGAATATGGTTTATCATACGTAGAATTTACTCTGTTAACATGTATTTGCCTATGCATATTCGGTATAAACTAGCTCATTCTCTTATGATGCCGCTAATACTTTATGCTCTCGAAGTTTTTTCCGGTACTTGTTCGAGGCAGTTAGATAAAGTCAAGCGTTTAGTAAATTCAATTGTGCGTTTTGTATATGGTGTACGACGTCGTGAACACATATCTGGTTATGTGCGTGAATTTTTAGGTTGTTCCTTTGTTGATTTTTTGAAATTTAGGAACTTGATACTATTTTACAATGTTATCAAAAGTAGCAAACCGCTTTCTATTTGTGTATCTTTTGTATTTTCGCGGTCTACTAGAAACCCACAAATATGTATTCCCAGAATATTTATGACATTGTTTGAAAAATCATTTGTTGTCAGAATTGCTCGTTGGTGGAACATATTACCTGCTTCTTTACGCATTTTTTCACATTCCAATAATGTTTTTCGGTTGAAACTTTTTCAACATTTGTCTGATTCTTCATAATCTGTTACATACATATGTATTTATTTGTATGTGTATGTTACTGATTGGGACCTAGTAACTTCTCGTTTTTGGTTATTTTTATGGTTGGGGAGCCTATTAATATAAAATTAATATATTTTATATGTTAATTATATTGTATATATTTTTTTCTCATTTTTTTGAATTTAAAAATTTTTAATATTCTGATCTCAGGATTTATTACTATGTAATATTGTTATTTTGGCCATGAAGGCTTTATATTACGAAATAAATAAATAAATAAAATAAATAAATAAATAAAATAAAAAGTTTCTAAGAAGATGTATATAGAATTTATACTTTTTGGAAAGCTGACTTTACATAAAATACGATAAATGAAACAAAACCTAAAAATTTTTGATACCGAGGGGACCAGGTCCATCCAAAAAAACCCTATTTTTTATGGAAAATTCAATTTTGAGCAAAAATTCTCAAATCGCATAGTTGATATCAAATTATAGTGACCTGTTTTATATGACCCAATATGTTCTTAATCATTTTGTAACGGGTTTCGATAACCCCGCCCCTGGTATGGATATAATAGGCAAAAAACCAAAAAATCCCATTTTTGGGATTTTTTAAAACTTTTTTGGGAATTCCGGGATTTCTAATAAGAAAATTCGAAATTTTTATTTAATTTTGGATTTTGAGTAAAAAAATCTACCTAACTGTAAAATTTCATCCATAAGGTTAACTCTTAAATTTGTTACATATATTAAAAAAATATATTGAAAATAATAGTACTAGGTAAATTTTCTAAAAGATGTTGAGTTTTCCCTAATTAATTTGTAACTTAAAAACATTAGGTAGGCATGTTATATATCAATGGAAAGGTAATTTTGTCTATTTTTCAAAACTGTATATAATTTTTTATTAAAAAATTCGCGGAATACTTTTTTTAAAAAAAATTAAAAAATGTTTTTTATTCAGTTTTTGCGAAGATACAAATTTTTCAAATTGCAATAAAAATTTTATTTATGAATATTTTTTGATGAAATTTTACAGTTAGGTAGATTTTTTTTACTCAAAATCAAAAATTAAATAAAAATTTCGAATTTTCTTATTAGAAATCCCGGAATTCCCAAAAAAGTTTTAAAAAATCCCAAAAATGGGATTTTTTGGTTTTTTGCCTATTATATCCATACCAGGGGCGGGGTTATCGAAACCCGTTACAAAATGATTAAGAACATATTGGGTCATATAAAACAGGTCACTATAATTTCATATCGACTATGCGATTTGAGAATTTTTGCTCAAAATTGAATTTTCCATAAAAAATAGGGTTTTTTTGGATGGACCTGGTCCTCTCGGTATCAAAAATTTTTAGGTTTTGTTTCATTTATCGTATTTTATGTAAAGTCAGCTTTCCAAAAAGTATAAATTCTATATACATCTTCTTAGAAACTTTTTAGATAACTTAAAAAGAAAAAGATGCTTTTTTTCCAAAAAAATGGCAAAAAATCGCCTTTTTTTAATTTTTTAAATTAAAATGCCTATAACTTTGGACTCAGTCATGATTTTTACATAATTCTTTCACTGCTTGATATATAAACTTGTTGTTAAGCGAATAAAAAAAAATGGCGAAAATCGGGAATATTTGGACCCGCTATTATCAAAAAACTAAAGTAAGGACGGTAAAAATTTTAAAATTTTAATTTTCAAATGCGAATATCTCCTAAACTATAAGAGATAATTTACTGCATTTTTTTTTTTACATTTTTTATAGTGCTCGATGAGGAGATTCTATATACGAAATTTTTTTTAAATCGGAACTCAAATGAAGAAATAGGATCGTTTTAAAAATTTAACATAGCCGAGGTGTCCTAATTTGAGGACCCCCCACCGGGCCCCTGAAAATCAGCCAAATCGGTCCACAACGTAAAAAGTTATGAGTAAAAATTTCAGACCACCTCGAAAAAAATTAAGTTTTTTTCCTAATTCTTGAGGAGTTTTCTCAGAAACTACTAAAGATAATGCAATGAATTTTGTCACACCTTATTTTCTTTACCCAGGGATCAAAAATGTTCAAACTCAAAACAATCGATTAAAAATTTCTCATAGCTCCCATACAAAGGTACATATTCTCGGAAATAGATTTATCATTAATAACTTCGGCAAAAATATCGGTATCACCACCACATATTACCAACGAAGATCTGTATAGGATGATTATTGGTCACAGCTATATATGGTCCACTTTCGAAAAATACTTAAATACAAATAACTAATTAAGAAATAAAGATATTGGAATAATATTCAACATAAATATGTTTTGTGTATACATATATCACTTTGCAAAATATTTTCGGATTGGTCCTTTTCCGATAACCACGTAATCGCACATATTACATAACTGAATGAAATTATCGGTATAAAATTCATCATGAATGTGTTTAAAGTAGATATAAAACACCCTGCGAAATTTTTTCCGGCTCAGCCCATAATTGGTCACAGCTCCCATGTAAGGTCAACTTCAGAAAATTACTTAATTGCACATAACTAATTTATAAATAATGATATTGAAATAATATTCAACATAAATATGTATTGTGTATACATATATCACTCTGCAAAATGTATTTTGGATTAGTCCATAATTGGGCATAGATCGCATATAAGGCCCATTTCCGATAACCACGTAAACGCACATATTTCATAACTGAATGAATATATCGGTATAATATTAGTCATTAATGTGTTTATAGTAGATATGAAACACCCTGCTAAATGTTTTCCGGATCGGTCCATAATTAGTCACAGCTCCCAAAAAAGGACCACTTCCGAAATGGCTTATCCAATTAAGAAATAAAGATATTTTAAAACAAGTAAGAAATTATAGTCCGGCGAGGCCGACCATATAATACCCTACACCTGTTACAAAAATAAAATGTGATTTAGTTTTCATAATAGAAACCTTGCCTCAGATATACTTAAGCCGTTTATTGTTGAATAAAATTGTGGACATTTAAGTCAAATTTTGAAGGGGGTTTTGTATAGGGGCTATGGTCAAATGAGACCCTATAATTATAAAATTCATAAGAGTCATCGAGGCTAGTATAGAACTTGGTTTTGCAGCTTTTGTCGAGATACGAGTATATTGAACATAATTATGAACTTAAAAGCCCTTAAAATAATAAACCAATGTTAGTCATTTTCAATAGGCTTCGTCTCCGGTACCATAGAAGATGATGTGCTAATTTCATTGAATTATCTTCAAAATTGAGACCTGAAGTTTGATTACAAGCCCTAATCGACTCAGAAATTATTCTAAGCCAATTGGTATACTTTAAAGTGGTGTAGTGTATAAATAGGCTATAAAAATAAGTTTTTTACGGATCGGTCCATAATTGTTCATATCTGTCATATAAGATCCACTTCTGAAAATTCATTTATCAATGAAATTTTCATTGATAAATAAAGATATCGGAATAAGGATATTTTGTGTATATAAGAAATCTCTTTTTTTAGGATCAATGCATAATTGCTCTTAGTTCTCATATAAGGCCCATTTCCATAAGTCACTTTTTCCAATATATTTCATTCCATTATAAATATATACGGATAAAATCCGACACAGTGTGTTTTTTATCGATAAATCATTCTGTGAAATTTTGTTCGGATTGGCCAATAATTGGCTGGAGATATGGCCAATTATAAAAGGTATATATGATTTCTAAATGATAGCACCCTCATCGCGGAAGCACAATTAAACTTTCACAATTTATTAAATACGAATCTAGTAATATTTATAATGGTTTTCATAAAAAGTAGCTTAAAGGTGGAGGGTATTTAATATTTGGCATAACCGAATATAGCACTCTGACTTGTTAATTTTTCTCGATGTAGAGCGTAATTTTGAGTTCACAGCTACATAAATGATTATTTCCCATTGAAAACTAAGTTCTTTTTTAGAATTTGACGACACTACATGCTAAAAG